GACAATGGACTCTGGCTAGGAAAGACATATGCACAGACCAAATTAAGCATGACCATATTTGGGTATTTGGGAAGTTGAACAGGGACAATCATGTAATAAGCCAGTTGGCCCTTTCTGTGCTTAAAATAATTTTCTTTAACAACAGCAATGAGCACATGAGAAACTAAAGAAGTAAGACCCACAGTAGGTTCTCGCTCTTTCTCTCCATCCAACTTGGAACTTTTGAGCTCAGTCTGCTGCTTTGACTATCCAGTGCCACTGATGGAGAGAAAAGAATCAACCTGGCAGCGGCTGCTATCTCCAGAAAAAAAAAAATAAATCGACTGTGAACATCTTCATAAACTCAAGGTTGAACCAAAAAGGTCAACCAAATTTAGTCCAAAGCTGGCCAATCCCCAGAACTTCAAATTCACACATCCCCTTTTGACTTTCTTGGACATTAAATTGCTTCACCTATCTTCCCACTCTGCCATCCATTTACTGTTTGAACTTTGAGGGTCTGTGTGTGTATAGGTTGGGGCTATATTTTATTATTGTACTTATATAATTAAAACCACTCTCCTTTCAAAAAGAAAACATATTTCTTTTTTGTGGTTACAGGACATAACCATTTAGCCACTCATTGAATTAGTATGCATTTTGTTTTTGAAAAAAGAGAACCTGCTGCGGTCAAATAAGGAGTGTGAAAGAAGGAAACCATCCTACCCCTTTAGCTGTTTATAAAACAATTTACAAAACTATCAGAATGGAATTGCACTGTCTGGATGTAGCCCACTAGGGAGAAATTACTGAAGAAAATGTGAACTAGATATCATCCAGACTAATAATTCAGGCAGGTGAGCAGCAAGCTATCGAACTCATTCCTTTGGACAATGAATCCAGGTCAAGAAGGAAGTCCATGGGCCATATTAACTGACTACTTTAAACAATATTCATCATCTGATGATCCCCTAGTTTGTTGTGATTTTGTTTGGTAATTTTGTGAATGCGGGTCAAGGAATAAAAATCCAATAATTTGTGTTTAAAGAAACTGATTGTTTTTCTGGGTTAAGGTTGAAAGAAACAAGAAAACGTGTGAAATGGCAAGAAACCATGAAATTCCTTTGTGTCTCTCTCTCCAGCCATTCTGCAATTGTGTGCCCTGCTTGTATTCTAACGAGTCGTTCACCAGAGGCAGTGTCTTCAACCTGAAGCAAACAGCTGCTGACTTCAGGTGTCAAAGATCATCCATCAACACATTAAATCATCTTGAGGGCCCTCTTGTAGTGTTCCAACCCCTGGACCAAGAGGCATGGGTTCAAGTCCCATGTGCTCCTGAGGCATGTATAACATCACTGAACAGGTTAATTAGAAAAAAATAGGTTAAATCATCTTGCTGCAGAATCCAGAAGTTCACTGAAAATTGGCTGAAGCAATCCAGTGCATCAGTCCACAGATCTGTATTTGATTGATTTCTTTAGGATAATCTTAAGCAATTTAACCTAGCCTCCATCTTTATCATTTTCTCTTTATGTCTGTAACTCTATTGAATGAATGTGAGAGTTGGAACATTATATATTTAGCAACAAAGTGTGTGATTTATATATTTTGATATCATTTATTTTGCGAGTTTGGATTCTGAATAGTGGCATGTGGGTTTTGGTTCTGTATGAAAGTTTAATGATTAGCTTGGCACTATTTCTAGTTCCAAGACTTTTTGAAACCAATGTGAAACAGAGAGCCCCTGGAGCGCTAACTGGAATTTGTTTGCATTGGGAGAGTTTTATGAGTGAACAGAATATATGTTAAAGAGCATTAGCCTGTTTTTAGTTAGAAGGACCAGGCATTGATTTTCTTTTGTCTATGGGAAATGCCAATAGCTTGGAAACCTTTTGGTTTCAGTTCACAGAACTCCTGGTTAATGTTAGATGCAAGAACACGGTTCGCCTGAAGCAAGTAGTTCATATGGAATCATTATAAATAGGTTACCTCAACGCAACAGTTTAATTTGAAAGTTCCAGACTAGAATTGTTTGGTTAGGACCCTGACAGAGTCATTCAAAACTGAGAAATTCTAAGCTTAATTGTCTGAATACTCAAGGAAGAGGCTATCAGACTGACGAGGCCGAGAATTGAAAGCAACAGTTAAGTCAAAAACAGAAATTGCTGGAAAATCTCAGCAGGTCTGGCAGCATCTGTGGAGAGAAAGCAGAGTTAATGTTTTGGGTCCAGTGAGCCTCATTCAGAACCTGACAGTTCTGAAGGGTCACTGGACCCATAAAATTACCTCTGCTTTTTCTCCACAGATGCTGCCAGAACTGCTGAGTTTTTTTCCAGGAATTTCTGTTTTGTTTCTGATTTCTAACATCTGCAATTCTTTGTTTTTTTTAAGTTAAGTCAAACTTCTAGATGTCCTCAAGAAGGAATTCTCTCTGGTGTTCCAGTACTGTAAAGGAATACTGTTGGGATAGATGGGTTATTCTATTTATACTGTGCTACAAAGATTGAAATTGTGCTTTAAATTGTGTTTCATGCAAATAGCTAATTTGTTTTATCATCTTTTATTTTACATAAAACAAAAACTTGTTTTAATTATAAAACCAGATAGGCAGCATTTCATGCTTGTGTTTCATTGAAATACCACATTGTTAAATACAAGCCAAATATAATCTATCAAGTCAGATTTCAGTCTGGGATCTGACCTGTCCAATAATAACATCAGCTGGGGATTATGATAATGATAAGTATTGAGGATAATAAATACCATATCCTTTTGAAACTTCCAAGAAAACCGCTCCATGTGTCATTTACATACAACATTTAAATAGTTAAACACTCACTGTTTTTATTAAAATAATTTGTTTACTAATCCAACCTGTTGCGGTCAAACAAGAGATCAAAAGGAGAGCCCTGTTACCACTCCTCACCTGGCTGTAACTCTAGGTGATTGCAAATCAATTTTTATCTGGTATGTTTATTAGTATGCATGTAAAGGACAGCCTAATGTTATGCGCTAAATTGTTGAACAACTTTAATTTCCAATCAACTTGTTCAAATTAAAATGCTGGAGAAACTCAGCAGGTCTGGCAGCATCTGTGGAGAGAAAAACAAAGTTAGAATTTCGAGTCTGGCATGACTCTTCTTCAGAATTGGTTTCAAAATGTTACTGGTTCTCTCTCCACAGATGCTGCGAAATCTGCTGAGTTTCTCCAGCATTCTCTGTTTGTTTTAATGCATATATATCCTTCCTCAAATAGGAGACAAATATTGTACACAGTATTCAAGATGTGCTGTCACCAATGCTCTGTATAATTGTAAGATAACATCCTTGCTTTTATGCTTAATTGTTCTCGGATTAAAGGGTAGTATCGCGTTAGCCTTGAATAATAAAGCCAAGAGTCTTTTGTTTTTAAATAGCATTCTCTATATTATGCCAAGTTTAATAACACATGCACATATACACCCAGCTCTCTCTGCTCCTCACACTCTTCAGAATGGTAGTCTTTATTTTAACCTGTCTCCCCATGCTCCTTGGACCAAAATGCATCACCTCCCACTTCTCCATACTGAACCACATTTGCCAACTATCCATCCACTTTGCCAATTTGTCAGCATCTTTTCGAAGTTTCACACTTTCTCATCAGTTTATAATTCTTCCAACTTTTGTGCTGTCTGCAAAAAAATTGAAATTGTCCCCTGCATGTCAAGATTTAGATCATAAATATACATCAGGGAAGGCAAGGGTCTCAATGCCAATCCCAGGGAACTCCCCAGTAAACTTTCTTCCAGCTTGAAAAATACACATTAACCATTACTGTGTTTCCTATCACTTAAACAATATTGTATCCATGTTCCTAGTGTCCCTTTTATTCCATGACCTATGACTTTCTTCACAAGTGTGTTGTGTGGCATTGAATCAAATACCTTTTGGAAATCCATGCCTTTTCCTCAGCAAATCTCTCTGTTCTTCAAAAAACTCCAGTAAGTTATATACAATCTTCTCTTAAATTCATGTTGACTGTTCTTAATTAATCCACATATTTCCAGGCAACTATTTGTTTTATTCCAAGTACTCATTTCTAGAAGTTTCCCCCTCACCAGTGTAAAATTGACTGATTTGTAACTGTTGGATCTGTTTGTACAAGCGTGTGTTGAGTTTATAATTTTCCAGTCCTCCACTATCACCACTGAATCTAGGGTTGATTGAAAGATCATTGTCAATGCCTCCACAATTTTCAGTCTCACTTCCTTCGATACATCTCATGTTGTCCTGATGCCTATCAACATTAAGTACCAACAGCTTATCCAATCATCCTCATCAAGTTTAAATGCTTCTAGTAATCGAATTTCATTCTTTGTCACCATGGCCTGGGCAGATTTCCAGCATCTGCAGTATTTTGATTGGAATTTGTTTAAGTTGTTTCCTTATGTATTTGAAGTTTGCCCTTCTGATATTGAATGAGACTGATAGTTCAGAATTTTGAATTTAAGAACAATCTTATGATGATTCATTTATTCATACGTGTTTTGTCTGAAGGCAGGTTCCTTGTCGATGTTATTTAAGTCACTCATCATTAAGTGAAGATGAGCACTATCTTCTGTTTCCTTAAATATACTTGGTTCATGATCCAATATATTAAATTTACTGTCATATACAGTACTCAAAACAAGGGATCCAAAATATATATTGAAGTGCTGTTTTGCTTATTGATTATAATTTTGCTTATTGATACATATCCCTTTTAATTATTTAGAACAAAGTATCTTCCTTCTCGTGTCTATGGTGTACCACAGTATCAGCTGCGATCATTCCAGATTGAAGATTTCAAACCAGAACTCAGGGCAGCTTTCCACACTCACTTGATTAAGTCTAAGTACCCCTTACATATGGGCTACACCACTTCCTTTCCTATCCATATTTATTGAAAACTCTCAACCTCTACATAGTCATGATTTTTCTCTGAGGTCAAGAATGATTCTGCTACTCTTCATATACAAAAATCTTACACTGCCAGAAGAACCTCCAATTCAAGCATTTTATTTTCTTCAATGCAGATCTTAAGGCAATCTTAAGGTGAGGTATTAATTGACTCTCTCATGAATTTAAAGGATCCAAAGCACTGAGCAAAGCGATGCTGGTGCATTTTCCCCAAAATCCATTGCAACATTTACCCCTTATTTAACACCAACAAAAAAAAGATACGCATAGAATTCATCTCATTTTTCTGAGAAATCTTGTTCCGTGCAGATTGGCTGCTGAGTTTATCAGGAATAAGTGGCTACAAACAATTGGTTAATTTTGAAGTGTAAGCTGCTGAGGTCCCGACTACATTAAAATATGTTGTCAATAACTTATTACATTAATTTTATTGTAAGTAGATCACTCTCTGATCCAGGTTTAAAACAGGTTTACTATAATTTGTTTGCTTTTGTAGATTATGCCTTCAGTAAAGCCAATGATTAATTTTTCTCTTTTTGAAAACAAAACAGCCTCGTCAACCTGTACATTGAAGATGTGTACTTCATCCAAAGATATGTATATTCCTGCACACCATTAAAATTTGTACATTAAAAATCTTCCTACCAGGATGGATCGTTTCTCTGTTTGAAATTAGATGCCATTTAATGCAATCAGTTTGTCTAAATCCTCTTGAAGTCTGTTGCTATCGTCATCGTTTCATTTGCATCCTTTGAAATCATGCCTCACATATCCAAATGCAGTCATCAATATGTAACAGAAAGAACAGTAATCCTAACAGCAACTCAAGGAGACATCACTGTGCATATATTTCCAGTGTGAAAAACAAACAACCATTCACCACTATGCAGTTTGTTTTGTGTAAATGCAAAATGTCGCTTCCCTTTTTGATCTCTGGGTTTCAATTTTGCTAACAAGGCCTGAAAGTGTAGTTACCTATGAAAGCAGTATTTATTTATACACCCAGTGTCAGTTTTGAAGGATCCTGGAGTAACAGCCTTGTAAAATGAAAGAAAACCAAACAACATTTTTAATTTGACTAGTTGTGCAATCCCACACACACTTCTATATGCTGCCCCTCAAAATGCTAGCTGATTATTTAGCAATATTCAGAGATTCCAATAATAAGAAAATCTCTACTTCCAAAATTGTATAAAATATAAAATTTAAATTTGATTACATTATTATAATGCATAAGGTTAAATTTAATCAATGTTAAAACCAACATATTTGTGCAAGTTTAACTGTTTTATTGGGAAGGTGGATTATGCAAGTCAATCCGAATAGATATTGTTGTATCATATTGGGACAGTCACATTATTCATTTGAATGCTAAACATTAACTTAAAAAGATTACCTAATTAGAGATTTAAAAGCTGAATATTTTACAGAAAATTCAAAAAATCAGAATGTGGCTCCACCATAACAAATAAATAACGAATTCAAGCATGTATAAAATAACGTTTTCATCAAATAAGTGGAGCTGCAGGTCAAAAATCTTAAAATTCCATTCAAAAATCATGAACAAAGTGATGACTTTTTTTTTGCAAAAGTTAAATCATTTAATCAAGTGAAATGTGACAGGTGAAAATAAACAAACAGTTCAGTTGTCATCAGCTTCGAGGTTAATGTTGTTTCCGAATTTTGCATAGAGTTGGATTTTAAGATCCGATAACACCTGTTGAATTGTCTCCACACGGGTCTGCAAAGCATGGATCTCATCTTGGAAACTTTGCTGAAAAATAAAGTTTAAAGTCATATCAAGGTACAAGCAATCAAGAAAATTAAAATGATCATTAATTAAAAATTATACTAATTAATTTTGGCCTCAAAACTTGAGATTATTTTAATGGTTTAAATAAAGCCAGAGTTCCCAATGGCATATTTGTTTGAGTCACTTTGCATCCACAATGGGGAAAATGTCATCACAGTCATGTCTTTCATGACACAGTTTGAAAGTGAGATGGACAGAGGGATAAAAGGCAATGTAAGTCACTTGCAAAATCAAGAAGTAGCAATCCAAAAGTGAAGAAGCCAATGCATTAGATTACCATTGCGAAGATAAAAGTTGGTAGAGTTCACAAAACCTTTGGAGGTAAAATATGATTAAAATATTTAGACTTGTATGCACTCTCTCTCATCTATTTCCATTTTAAATGTCTGCATTCCTGATGCCTCAGTTAAAAGTGAACATTGCAAAAGATGTGAAGGCAGAGTTGACTCTCCAGTAATTGCTGTGAATTAGAGAGACTGTGGAAGGGAGAGAAGAATTTGGTGAATTGCGATCACTATGAAAGCACTGATGGAGCTGCTGGCTGACAAGTCCTGGGTACTGATGGACTTCATCCAAATGTCTTAAAAGGGGTGGCTAATCAGGTAATAGTTGCATTGGTGATGGTTTTCCAATTCAATCTTTTTTAACCAATTTATTGGAGTTCATTGTAGGAGTAACATGCACTGTGAATAAAGGGGTATCTGTAGTTGAACCCTATTTTTCAGAAGGCTTTGAACAAAGTATGGCATAAGGAGGAGTTCATGGTGTAGGGGGCAGTGTGTTTTAACATGGATAGAAGATGGGCTGGCTGGCCAAAAAAAAATGACAGCATGATTAACAGGTTGTTTTCTGTCTGGCAGAATGTGACACGTGGAGTCCCAGGATCTGCTGGTACCTCAACCTTTTATCATTTAGATCAAAGAGTTAGATGAGAGAGTGAATGCATAGTAGTTAACTTTGCAGAAAACAAAGATAGGCAATAAATTATGTTATGAGGAGGTTGTAGACTGATGTAGATAGGTTGAGTGAGTGGGCAAAAAATTTGAAAATGGAGTATAATGAAGGAAACTGTGAAGTTGTTCACTTTGGTCAGTAGAAATTAAAAAGAAGTATTACTTAAATGGAGATGAGATAGTAGGAACTGCAGATGCTGGAGAATCCAAGACAACAAGGTCCAGAGCTGGATGAACACAGCAGGCCAAGCAGCACCATAGGAGTAGAAAGGCTGACGTTTCAGGAAGGGGCGAGGCCCGAAACGTCAGCCTTTCTGCTCCTATGATGCTGCTTGGCCTACTGTGTTCATCCAGCTCTGCACCTTGTTGTCTCTCATTACTTAAATGGAGCTTGAATGCAGCATTCTGAGGTGTAGGGTGATAAAATGTTAAGGTGTTTCAGTGTATGAGTCAAAGAAAGTTGTATGCAAGTACAACTAGTAACTAAGGCTAATGGAAATGCTATCCTTTATTACATGATGACTTGAACGCAAGAATAAGGATATTATGTTTCAATTATGCAGGGCATTGGAGGACTACATCTGAAGTACTGTGTTCCTTATTTAAAGATGGATGTAAAGGTGTAGGAAAGCTCACCAGATTGATATCTGAAATGAGCAGATTGCCTTAGGAAGACAGATTGGAAATACAGGGTTTGGAAGAGCAAGTTGTGACTTGATTGAAGTGTATAGATTCTGAGTGGTCTTCACTGGTGGATGTAGAAAGGATGTTTCCTCATGTGGGTGAGTCCAGAACTAGGGGTGACTATTTAAAAATTAGGGATCTGTCTGTTAGGAAGAGATGAGAATTCTTTTCTCTCAGCAGATTGTGCAACTTTAGATCTCTCTGCCTAGAAAGGCAATGGAAGCGTGGTCATCGAATATTTTTAAGATGGAGGCAAATTAATTCGTGTTTGGAAATGTAATCAAAAGGTTATCAGTGGTTTGTGGGAATGTGGGATTCAAAACAAACAGCCATGGTCTTATTAAATGACGGAGCAGGCTTGAGGGGCTGAATAGCTGAATACATAAGAACATAAGAACTCGGAGCAGGAGTAGGCCATCTGGCCCCTCGAGCCTGTCCCGCCATTTAATAAGATCATGGCTGATCTTTTTGAGACTCAGTTCCACTTAACCGCCCACACACCATAACCTTCAACTCCTTTACTGTTCAAAAATTTATCTAGCCTTGCCTTAAACACATTCAGCGAGGTAGCTTCAACCGCTTCACTGGGCAGAGAATTCCACAGATTCACAACCCTTTGGGTGAAGAAGTTCCTCCTGACCTCAGTCCTACATCTGCTTCCCTTTATTTTGAGGCTATGCCCCCTAGTCCTAGTTTCACTTGCTAGGGGAAACAGCCTCCCTGCCTCCACCTTATCTATTCCCTTCATAATCTTATATGTTTCTATAAGATCTCCCCTCATTCTTCTGAATTCCAAAGAGTATAATCCCAGTCGACTCAGTCTCTCCTCATAAGCCAACCCTCTCAACTCTAGAATCAACCGAGTGAATCTCCTCTGCATGCCCTCCAGTGGTAGTATATCCCTTCTCAAGTAAGGAGACCAAAACTGCACACAGTACTCCAGGTGTGGCCTCACCAGGATCCTATACAGCTGCAGCATAGCCTCCCTGTTTTTAAACTCCATCCCTCTAGCAATGGCAGACAAAATTCCATTTTGCCTTTTTAATTACCTGCTGCACCTGCAATCCTACTTTTAGCAATTCATGCACAAGGACACCCAAGTCCCTCTGCACAGCAGCGTGCTGCAATATTTTACCATTTAAAACATTGTCCATTTTCCTGTTATTCCTACCAAAATGGATGACCTCACACTTATCGACATTGTACTCCATCTGCCAGACCTTTGCCCACTCACTTTAACTATCTATATCCCTCTGCAGACTTTCAGTGTCTTCTGCACACTTTGCTCTACAACTCATCTTAGTATCATCTCCAAATTTTGACACACCACACTTAGTTCCCAACTTCAAATCATCTATGTAAATTGTAAACAATTGCGGTCCCAACACTGATCCCTGAGGCACAACACTAGCCACTGACCGCCAACCAGAAAAATACCCATTTACCCCTACTCTTTGCTTTCTAGTAGTCAACCAATCCTCTATCCATGCCAATACATTATCTGTGATACCGTGCAACTTTATCTTATGTAGCATCCTTTGGTGTGGCACCTTGTCAAATGCCTTCTGGAAATCCAGATACACTACATTCAGAGGTTCCCCATTGTCCACCATGCAAGTAATGTCCAAGTAATTTGCTATTTCTTCCTTACTCCCTAATTGTATGTTTGTGAAGTTCTAAAGGTTCTTTTTTTTTTAAAAAATCAGTGGAGCACTGGCAGACATTTCAGAAAATATTTCAAAATATGCAGCAAAGATACAATCCATAAAGAAGGGAACGCCATGAGAAGAATACACCATCTGTGGCTGTCTAAGGAAATTGAGGATAGCATCAAATTGAAAGGAAAGCATACAACTCTACAAGCATTAGCGCTAGGTCAGAAGACTGATGTCACATTGCACACTTTTTGAACTAAGCAAGAGCTTGAGGACAACCAATCCCTGGTGCATTTCCCTAAGGCAATGCCTTAACCAGTCAACCTGCTTGGCTTGAATTTAGATTTAATTGATGCCTGGAGCATTCTGCTCAGGAACACCACGACCAATCAGCATCCACTTGCCAACCAATCAGCATACTCTTCTCATGTAATACAACTTGCTGTTCTCTTTCAGACTTGTATTCTTGTGATTTTGTCCCATTGAGAGCAAGGCAGAAAGCTTCAACAGCATTTCTTTTCTTAGGCGAAGTGGTAGGTTAAACGATGAGGCAAAAAAATTTGTAGATGGAATTTAAATGTGGGAAAACGTGAACTTGCCTTCTTTGGCAGGAAATGTATGATTTCAAGTTTAGAATAAGAGATGATCTGATTGAAACATGCAAGATCCTGAGGGGATTTGACACAGCAGATGCAGAAAGGATGCTTCCATTTGTGAGGGAGTCTAGAACTGGGATCTTTCATTTAGAATTAAGATAATTTTTTTTTTTCTGAATGTCATTCATTTTTCAAATTATCTGCTCCAGTGTGGTAGAATTTAAGTCATTGAATATTTTCAGGGTTGAGTTAGAAAGGTTTTTGATCAACAAGAAAGTCAAGATTATGAAGGAATACAATTTGGCGGAGTTCAGAGCACAATAAGATCAGCTATGATCTAACGGAATAGCTCAGCAGTTTTGAGGAGGTGAATAGCCCACTCTAGCTCCTCATTCTTATGTTCAGGCCAATTATGAAATTGGTGAATCATATATTGTAACAATTGGCAATTTTCTTCTTTTTCAGCACAAATGCATCTCCTGGCACTTTATAGACATATAAACAGATAAACAGAACGAGTCTCAGAGGAAGATTGACATAGGAAAAGCACCCTCAGGTAGCAACAACCATAACAAGATTGAATTTTGCATTCAGTTTAAGGGAAAGGGGAGTGGGTCCGAGACTATTTCCTTTTAGAGGAGGAATTGTGATGCAATGAAAGCAGATTAGGTTAATGAGGTAAAGGATAGGTCAACAGGGATGCAGTGGCTGACATACAAGGGAATTTTCAGAACACACAGAAGAGATACATTCCAATGAGTAATAAAATTTCCAAGGAACGGGTCCACCATCCATGATTAACTAGAGATGTTAAAGATACTATCAACATAAAAGAAAAAGCATTTAACTGTGCAAAGCTAGGTGGCAGGTCAGAAGTTTTTTTTTGTTAATCGTCTGTCCAAAAATTTCCCAAAATATTAATGTGGAAGTAAAAATAAAAGTACAAGAGAAAGATAGAAAAATTAAAAAAAATAGTAAAAGAGCTCAATAATTATTTAAATGGAGAAAAAAAAAAAGAGTTAACAAAGTGAATATCAGTCTGACAAAAATTAATTATACAAAATAAAAAATGGCAGAAGAACCGAACAATTATTTTGCAGTGGTTTTCAATATAAAGGATTCAAGAAATGGAAGAGAGGGAGCAACTCAGGAAGTTCACCAATAAGTGATAGTAAGAAAATTGTTAAAGCTTCAGGCTGACAAGTGCCCTGGTCCTGGTGGATGTCCTCCTAAGGTCTTAAAAGATACTGGTGAGAAAATTGATGTGCTGGTTTTAATTTTTCAAAACTCTCTTGATTCAATGCCTGTCCTAGTAGAATGGAAGGTATAAAAGTAATTCCTTTATTCAAAAAGAGAGGCATTCAGGAAACAGGCCACTTAGTTTAACATCTATCATTGGGAAAACATAAGAAATTATTATAACTAAGAAGGTTATAGCAGAACACATAGTTGAGTTCAAGGTAACCAGGTTGAGTCAACATGATTTTGGGGCAGGCAAATCATGTCTGACCAATCCATTACAGTCCTTTGAGGAGGTAATGGATAAAGGGAAAATCAGTAGATGTACTGTACTTACAATTCCAGAAGGCATTTCATAAGGAAGGTGCTAAATTAAAAGATCTTGCGGAAAATAAAAGCTAATGGTGTAGAGGGTAGAAAATTGGCATGGACAGAAGATTCAGCTGGCTAACAAGAAGCAAAGAGTAGGCAGAAAATGGGTATTTTTCAGGTTGGTAAGATGTAACAAGTCATGTGGCAAGGGATTGGTGATGGAACTTCAACTATTTAAAATGTATATAAACAACTTAGATGATGGGACAGAGGATTGGTTGCCAAATTTGCTGTTATAAAGAGAAGGCGAAGAGGAAATACATGCAGTACAAAAAAAACGTAGATAGGTTAAACGAGTGGGCAATGATGTGGCAAGTGAGTATAGTCTGCGAGAATGTATAATTGTCCATCTTGGTAAGAATTATAATAAAACTGAATAATAAGTTTAATAGGAAGAGTAAATTACAAGTCTAATAGTAAGAATAATAAAACTGAAGCACATTATTTAAATAGTGAGAGATTACAGAACTCTGGGATGCAGAGAGATGCGAGTATCCAAATGCATGAAGCACAAAGGTTTAGTACGCAGCTCCAGCAAGCATTTAAGACCAATAGAATGTTAACATTTATTGGGATGGGAATTAAATACAAAATTATGGAGGTTATTTTGTACAGGGCACTGGAGAGATGGTATCTGGTATACAATGCACAGTGTTGGTCATCTTATTTAAGGAAGGATATAAATATGTTGGAGGCAATTCAGAGAAGGTTTATCAGACTAATAACTGGAATGAGTGGTTTGTATTTTGAGGAATAGTTGGATAAGGTAAACTTATTCTTTTAAACTCCAAAAGATACAAGACAGAACTTGATTTAAACATACAAGATCTTGTGTTGTTCTGACATGGTAAATGTGGAAAGGATGTTTCCTTTTATGGGAAAACCTAGAAATAGGGGTCCTCATTTAAAATACATCAGGCAAGATCTTTTGCAGAGTTTTGCGAGATGTTGGAACCCTTTTCCTGGAAAGATAATGGAAGCAGCATCCTTGAATATTTTTAAGGCAGCGGTGGATAGATTCTTACTAAGCAATGCAGTGAAAATTTAATTAGTGTAGGCTTGAGGTAGAGGTTACAATCAGATCAGCCATGATCTTAGTGAATGGCTGAGCAACTCAAGGGGCTAAATGACTTACTCCTGTTCCTAATTCATATGTTCCAGGTGACAAAAAGCTTGATCAAAGATGTTGGGTCTGAAGATGATTTCAAAAGGAAAAATATAAGAAGTGGAGAGGCAGAGGGAATGAATTGAAAAATGCAGGCCTTAGATACCTGTAAGCATAAGTTACTAGTGGAGAATGAAGGGAATGAATGAGGACTATAATAACAGGCTTGTCCAATGGATGAAACATTCAACAAGACTTTCTGAGGTGGTCACAGAGATAAAGAGGAGCAACCCGATAGATTTAATTCAAGGATAAGAGTTGAGGATGAGGCTTTGGAAGATGAGGAGTTAATGTAGGTCAACAGGCAATGGGTGGACTGAACCTGTAGCAGAGTTTTGTAAAAAATAATAGAGAATGGGTGGCCTACCAGGAAATTACTGCAGTTATCAAGTCTGGAATGAAGGACATTGACAAGGGTTTCATTAACAGATGGGCTGGGTAAGTACAAAGATGGGCACAAGAATTACGAGGGACAGTATATGGGTTTAGAATCTCAACTCTGGGTCAAATAGGATCAGAAGGTTGTAGACTGTCATTTGGACACAGTGACTGGGAAGGAAATAGAGCTAGCGGTAAGGTACAATTATGTGGCAGGAGTGTTTAACTGGAGGGAGGATGGTATAGCTAATCCAAAGCTCAAATAACAGATATACAAACAAACAGACAGACACAGTGCAAATAGTTGTGGAATGACGGACATTAGAAAAAGAGAAGTCCAGGTAGGTACTGTCAGCTTATGTAAGTTTGAATACCATGTCTTTGGAAGACACCACCAAGGAGAAGCATGTGAACGAGGAGTACAGGTCAAGGATTGATCTTTGGGTCACTCGAGAAAAGTCTATTCAAAGAAAAAGATTCTGCTAGAAATGATTTTACCATAATTGATTAGGCAAGAGTTAAAGAAAGCCAGGGTAATATAACTGAACAGGACGATGGTGTGGTCAACTATATACTGAGCGGTATAAAGGGTACAGGAGCAAAGAGTGTACAGCAGTGGAGAATGGAATTTCAACAGGATCACAAGATGAGGATTTAGAGAGAGACCCAGGGAAGATTCAACTTGTTGGGCAAAATAGAAGGGGGCAGTGGAACTGACTGAATGGATGGTTTATCTTGTTGATGTTAACAAATCTCTGATCCTTGCACTTTCTGCTAGAGTTGATTGTTGTCCAGACAAGAGGTTTAAGAAAACAGCTGGTATTAAAGACCATGAAGATCCGTCAAAGGATCTTGTAGTGGCAGAAATGGGCAATTAAGGCAGAGGAGAGCAAGGCAGCATAGAATTTATGTCAACCCATACTGGTAATGGCGACTATGCTGTATCCAGTAACCTATTTCACTATTTTCATCATTTTCCTCCTCCAATTCTGATCAATTCAATATCAAGTTATGGATGAAATGGAAATGAAGGTTTATTTTGATAAGTTTACAAAAATAAGGAACCCACCTTCTCCAAATCATACAGACCTCCAAGAGAAGAATGCCTACCTAACTTCCATGTATGACAAAAAACATGGAAATAACTGCTCTGGAAAGTTACCCACATTAAACGTCAGCATTGGGTTAGAAATCTGGTTATTCTACATTACACAAAGAGTTAGCTTAACAGCAACAAAGATATTTAGAGCCCTTTTTTTAAAAACAAACATTAGTCCATGCCACATCGTTACTTTCTGCTCCATTTATAATCTTTCTAATCTTGTCTTGCTGGAACTTATTTTTGTACAAAAGACAAGTTGACTAACCAGTGCAAACCTGAGTGTGTGCTGTTTTGTAGGAAAAAAAAATGGTAAACGCAAACCTTTTTCTCTAGTTTAGTTGGAAACAGAAGATTCTATGGTGCAACCGAATGCTTCTGATCGATCTATCTCCTTTAATTAATACCAACACAAAAAAAAACACTTAACTGGTCATTCATCTCATTGCTGTATGTTTTCCTACATAATTTATAATGCATCAGCTACTGTTAAGTAATTATATAGGAATCACGTGAGAAGTTTGGGAAAATGATAATGCAAATCCTTCTTCATTTTTAACCTAACACACAATTCAAATTAACAACTTGGCAGCACCTACATGTTCTATTCAAGACATTTGAAAAATTTTTCATGGCAACTCAAGGTTAACAAGAAATGTTTGACAAGCTTGAAATCAGTAACACGGCTTTACAACTTTAACTGTGTGATGGCAAGGGCTCGGCTTTTGCAATCTTACAAAGTATTGATTCATACTAACTACATGTAGTAGAAGTATAACCAGTCTAAGTGCAATTATTCACTGGTGAATTGCAACATTTGAAGCAAGCATCAAGCCAAGACATTTATTACCTTTGCTGCTTCTAGCATCTCCTGTGTCTCATCCTGGGAGTGGCTAATAAAAACCTCTCCGATTTGGTAAGGCACCAGCATTGTATCTTCATCAAGCATCATTATATCATCAGAGGCATCTTCTAAGTTCTGTAACTGTTTCTAAGTTGAATCACATACAAAAGGATCAGTCACATTTATCAAATAAATCATTCATAACTGTGAACAATGAAGTATTTATCTATTTGCTCTAACAACTAAATTTAAAAGGAACATTTCCAGAGTAGTTTTGATGCATTCATCTTTGGCTTGTTGGAACATAAGGTTCTTCAAAACCTTAAAATAAGATTCACAAAGTAAGTAAAGGTCATTTTTTTGTGAATCCTTACACACTTAATTCCAATGTAGAGTAACATACTATTAAAGCATTCAGTAAGGGTAGGTTACTCAAATGAATGGTTGTTTTATTGAATAGAATGTTTATTTGAAGCTAGAAAGCTAAAGATCACTGCAGTCAAATTCATGTATATACAACTTCATATTCATGCCATCAATAAAACCACTTACTTCCACCTCCACACACTGTTCAACTTTGTCCCTTCTTGAACACATATGCTACCGCGTTCCTTACCTGTGTTGCCTTTGTTACCTCCAAACTTGACTATCCTAATCCACACCTAGCTTCCCATCTTCTACTCTCTTTAAACTTAAGGTTATCCAAGATTCTGCAGCCATGTCCCACTTGTACCAAATCATGGACCATCACTTTTGCGCTCACTGATCTAGACTGGCTCCGAGTTAAGCAATGCCTCAGCTTTAAGATACCTTTTCTTCTACAGCCCTCCTTCTCCCCATCTTTGCAACTCTTCGAAATACCTTACTGCTGTAATTCTGACCTCTTGCACATTCCTAATTTTAAATCATTATATCTCAGCCTTTCTTTCCACCTTCAAAATCTCAAAAATTACTTCTTTGTCTGTGCCTTTTGGCCACCTTACATAATAAGGTATTTTGTGGACCAACGTAGAACTTTAAAAACTCCTCTGATGAGCTTTTGGGACAATATACCATAAAGGCACAACATGAATACAACTTGCTCTTCTTGTGGTAAACTACTCAGAGTTAATCTGTTTGAGGACAATCCTAGATTCAGTACACATATGCAGTTACAGCTTTTAATATATTAAAATAACAAATTCTCTACAAACCATATTCTTTGCATAATACTCTGCATTTACCTTTTTCAGTTCTATTTCTTCTTTAAGCTCTATAAGCCTATTATTATTTCTTGCAAACTTATTAATTTTCTGTTGGTCTTCAAAGGTAACATTAACATCTTCTACTGCCTATAAAACAAATATAAATAATATTTATGATCAAAATAAACACATTTTTCATGTATTTATGTATATACAAACTGATTCCAAATTTAAAACAATCAGAGATCTAAATCACACAATGTAATGTTTTCTCAGTAACATCTGTCAAGTAGGATCACAAAGCAAACAAATAGATGGGTAGATCTAATGTATATTAATAGCAAAGTGCTAGATTCCTGTTCTTTATATTGTATAAACTGTGCACAGTAAACACTACACTCAATGAAAGCATTTCACTAAAACTTTCTTTAATCAGAAAAAAAAACACAATTTCAAAAGCTGAAAACTAACATGTTTGTGTATCATAGCGAGTTGAATCAGACGAATGTCCAATGGCTCACTATAGACGAAGTGAGTCACTCTAGTGAAAAGTGGAAATTGACAGGTAACCAACAGCCCCTTGATTTTGTAGACAGACTTCGTCCGCACTAAGCACAGCATTGAAGACAAGAGCAAGTACAGCATAATTACAAACATTTATTTTACAAATTCAATTGAATTTTTCTTAATCTTTGATTATTTCAGACAAGAGAATAGTGCTTGCAAGCCACACAACGACAGAATGTTTCATGCAGGAGATTTTATCCTTCAGTATGGCTATTGAAGAAAGTAGATAATTATGAGTGTAGATAATGGAAATTTCACTGATTCCAGTTGATTTCTCTGTGAATGAGACAGTAAATCAGCTTTCTGAATATAATGCATACAATTAAATCTAAAACTTAAAAATTAAATCTAAATCATTGCAAAACTAGAGAACTATGTACAAAAAGTTAGCTACTGCAACTGGAAAGCATTAATTTAAAGCCAGAAAATCGGAAAAATAAATCACAGCTGTATTGGTTTACAAACTAACATTCTTACTGCTCAGCCAGGCATTGAGTGATAAGGTTCTGCGCTCTAAATCACCAACAAGAGCTTACACATTCTTGATCGGAGACTTGGAAATGAAAAATGATGTTCCGATTTTGAAGTTCATGAAACTGCCTACATAATACCCAGTAACATACTTCATTAACTGCAACAGTAACACTCTGCTGCACTTCACTATTCCCCAGCCCCACGCCCAAGAAAAACCACATGTCACACGCAAGCGGTCAGACATTGTTACAAAATGTACCCTCTTTGTAAATTAGCAATGGCATTACAGCTCTGGCATGCACCTTAAGTATATATTTCCTTTAACAAAGTCCACCCTGCTTAAAAGTTTTAAAATGAAACACATAATGAACATGATTAAGGTTAAGGTGCTAAACTGGAACAGGGCCAATTTTGGGGCCATTAGGTAGGATCTAGCAGGGGTTGATTGGGTGAGTCTGTTTGAAGGAAAAGGAATGACTGGCAAATGGGAGGCTTTTAAAAGGGTGACTTCAAGAGTCCAGGGACAGTATGTCCCTGTTAGGGTGAAGGGAAAAGCAGACAGGTTGAGGGATCAGTGGCTAATGAGGGATATTGAGGTTCTGATCAGGAAAGAAGAAGGCATACATTGCAGTTAAGCTATCAGCCTCAAGTGAATCACTAGGAGGAACACACTTATGAGGAAATCAGAAGAGCAAAAAGGGTAATGAGATGGATCTGGCAGATAAGGTTAAAGATAATCCCAAAAGGTTCTACAGCCATATTAAGAGTAAAAAGGTGGCTAGGGAGAGCATAGGTCCCCTTACAATCAGAATGGCCGTCTATATGTGGAGCCGCAGGAGATGGGGGAGCTTTTTAATGAATACTTCTCTTCAGTGTTTACTGAGGAGAGAATCATGGATACTAAGGAAGTAAGCGAAACAAGTAGGGATGTTTTGGACTGCATACACATTACAAAAGAGGAGGTGTTTGCAGCCTTAAAGTGCATTAAGGTGGATAAATCCCCTGGGCCTGATCAAGCCCATCTTCGGATATTGTGGGAGGCTAGGGAAGAAATTGCAGAGGCCCTTGCAGAGATTTTTGCTTCATTTTTAGCCACTGGTGAAGTTCCAGAAGACTGGAGGGTGGCTACTGTTGTTCCATTGTTTAAAAAGTAGCAAAGACAAGCCAGGAAACTACAGGCCAGTGAGCTTGACATCAGTGGTAGGCAAGCTATTGGAGGAGATACTGAGGAAAAGGATCAACCAACATTTAGATAGTCAAGGTCTGATCAGGGATAGTCAGCATGGATTTGCATGTGGGAAGTCAGGTCTGAAAAATCTTCTGGAGTTTTTCAAAAAGGTAACTAAGAGGACAGATGAGGGTCGGGCAGTGGATGTTGTCTATATGGACTTTAGTAAAGCCTTCAACAGGTCTCGGAAAGCAGGCTAGTCATGAAAGTTCGGTCGCATGGGATCCAGGGAGAGCTAACTAATTAGATTCAAAATTGGCTTGATGGTAGGAAGCAGAGAGTGATGGTTAAAGGTTGTTTCTCAGATTGGAGGCCTGTGACTAGTGGTGTGCCACAGGCGTCAGCGCTGGGACCTTTGTTACTTGTTATTTACATAAATGATCTGATGTGAATGTACATGGCATGATTAGTCAGTTTGCAGATGATACAAAATTAGGAGGTATCGTTGATAGCGAAGAAGGCTATCAAAAATTACAGACAGATCTTAATCAGATGGAGAAGTGGGCTAAGGATTGGCAAATGCAATTCAATACAGATAAGTATGAGGTGTTACACTTTGGAAAGTCAAACCAAGGGAGGACTTATACAGTAAATGGTAATTTCCTGAGGAGTGTTGTGAACAGAGGGACCTAGGAATACAAATACATAGTTTGTCGAAAGCAGTGTCACAGATGGACAGGGTGTTGAAGAAGGCATTCAGCATGCTGGTCTTCACTGGTCGAGGCACTGAGTATAGGAATTGGGACGTTATGTTACAGTCGTATAAGTTGTCGGTGAGGCCACACGTATTGTGTACAGGTTTGGTCACCCTGTTATAGGAAAGACATAGTTAAACTGGAAAGTGTTCAAAGAACATTTACGAGGATGTAGCCAGGACTAGTTGGCCTGAGTTAAAGGGAGAGGTTGGACAGGACAGGACTTTATTCCTTAAAATGGAGGAGAAAGAGGAGTGATCTTATTGAGATCTATAAAATCATGAAGGGCATAGATAGGATGATGAATGCATATAGTCTTTTTCCCCAGGGATGGGAAATTGAAAACTAGAGGGCGTAGGTTGAAGGTCAGATGGCAAAGATGTAAGAAGGACCTGAGGGGCAACTTCTTCACTCAGAGACAGTGGTGCATATATGGAACAGGCTGTCAGAGAACGTGGCACAGGCAGGTACAATAGCAAAGCTTAAAAATCATTTGGATAGATACATGGATGGGAAGGGTTTCGAGGGATATTGATCCAATTACCCGCATTTGAACAACTGAGTGGGCACCATGGTCAGCATGAACCAGTTGGGCCAAAGGGCCTGTTTCTATGCAGTATTACTTTATGACTCTATGATTTCTCTAAGATTATTGACTTGTATGCCTACTGTAAATAGAGGAGCAATTATATATTCCAAGTGAAAGAAAGTTTGAAGGTGCAAATCAATATACTGCATTGCAGACTTGTCAGTATTTACTGACAAAACAACAGTTCAGTCTCATATTTGTCATGTCTCAGTGCTGAAGAACAATCATACCTGACACATACCATTACCTCTGTTTCTCTCTTCACACATGTTGCCAAATCTGCTGACTTTGTCCAGTATTCTCTGTGTTTGTTTCAATTTCCAGCATCCACAGTATTTTGCCTTTATTCTAACAATAAGCTACCAATCAATACTACTATTTTGAGTTCTAACAGTACAGAGCCATCCAGCTTCTCTTGACTCTTCACTGAATTCCCCTATGGAGAATCTGTGAAGTTCAGGTGTCCAGCAATACACTTAAGTGCAGCACTCCTCACATGGAGTCTGCTTCATTCTCTCACTCACTGTTTGTATCTTTAAACTCCACTTCAGCAAGCTCCAAAACTACATGAGTAGAAAACTGTGCAAGAAGCCCCTTTCTGTTGCTAGGTATAACTGAACAGCAACACTTGAAACTGTTTATTCTATTAATACCAGCAATCAAACATGTAGGATCAAAAACAGAGGATTCCATCACAGGACCTAGAAACAACTGCCACAAGTGACTTATTACCTTTTCTATGCCTCATCTCTACTTATACTGATTTTAGGTTTTGATCTTTAGAACTAAAATCATCTCTCACTAAAAAAAATTGTTGGTGCAACGCAATTCATGGCACGAATGCTCAGTTAGACTTGCTACTGTACTCTTCAGCTCAGAAGATATTTTACCCAGAGTTTCAGGAAGTGCAAGTTGATAAAAGCAAAGAGAGGACAACAGGTAAACTGGCATCTGGTGAATGACAGGTCAAATACTGGATCTCCTTACCTAATGAGATTTAAAGCTCAAGTAAGAGGGATTAATTGAGAAAGGTTACAAATTAGGGTGGGTGAATGTAATGTCAAATCAGATACAGAAGGAGAAAAAGGAAAGATTAAATAGAAAAAAAAAGAATGGGAAAAAGTAACAAGGTAAAATTTGGTGTGAACAAATCACCATCTCACTCCCCACACTTCTAATTGCTCACTTCCTGGCCAGAGAGGTTGTTTGGCAAATCAACAGGAATTTAGCATGTTGTTAAAAATGATACTTTTCAATTAATTAATAAATTTTACTTTGTGTGGCAAAGTACAAGTGCAGCAGCTTAATTAGCACATGGTGAAGTTAAATGCAAAATGCCATTATTTTTGAGAGTCTGATATTGGGAGTTACACATGCCAATTGCAGAATCTGTGATGATTCACAACTGCTCTCATAATATGCTGAAAAAATTGGTGATTAATAATGGTGGAAGATGTCATCCACAGTGCTATTAAGCAGCACTTGCTTAGTACTAACCTGCTACCTGATGTTCAATTTGGGTTCAACCAAGACCACTAAATTCCTGACCTCAAAGTGGCCTTAGTTGAAGTATGGACTAAACAGCTGAATTGCA